TTATGTAATAATTTTAAATACACATATTTTATATAATTTTGCACAAATTTAAATTTTATATAACATTTTAAATAAATTAATATAGGGGTAATATTACATATTGATTTCATATTATTTAGTGATATTTTTTAATTTATAATATTAATGAATATCTATTACCCGTGCATTACACTCATTCATAATAGTTTGTTTTAACGAGTTACAAAACTGATACTTATATTAGAATAAGACAGTACCAATGTTTTAGTAACTCAGTACTTATATATTGTCCCTTAATACCGACTTATATGAACAAAAATGAATATATACTGTAAATAATTGTTTACAAAAATAATACCTATAATGTAGTAGGACAATACGTCAATACCAATGTTGTTGTAATTTAGTACCTATATATTGTGTGGAAAGAAAGAAAAATAAAATTAATAAAAAATTATGAAAAAAAAAAAAATAGTAGAAAAGATGAATAGTAAAAGATGAGTAAAAAAAATAAAAATGTGTGGAAAGAGAGAGAGAAAAATAACAAAAAAAAGAAAGTAGTGGAGAGAGAGAAAATAATAAGATGAGATGAATGATAGTGGGGATGATGTCATTTTCAATTTGTTTTTGACTTATTTAAATAATAGGGAGTTAAGAGGAAGATGATTAAGAGGGTAGGGAGTATAGAGGAAAAAAAAAATGTGTAGGGACTGAGGAGGAAAATTAAAAGAGGTTTGGGGATTTTTGAAGAAGTTTCCCTTAAATATTAAGTTAATATATTTTATTAGTTTTTTTCTCTTGACCTATAATACGGATCGGTATCTATGATATAATATGATTCCAACACAATCCATGGGAAAACAATGTTTAGGTTGTATATTTAATTAAATATATAAACAACATAAATTGCAGTTTATTGTACATTATGAAAAATTTATACATTATTGAACACGTTATCATAAAATCATTAATCATTTGATTATTTGGACGACACTATATTTATTCTTGATACTTAAAAGTCATATATAGTTTTGATAATCGACATGGTTCGGCCAAATTGACTCCTAAGAGCATTTGCAATACTTTGGGTCTAATTTTGATTATGTGGCAAGTAAATGTACTTAAGTCTTGGGTGACATGGATAAAAATATATAAAAGTAACAAAATTGACTTCAATGCAAAGAGACTATGTTTATGCTTGGGTCTAAATTAGACTTAAAGGTAGACTGAGTCTCTTTTTTCTGCTGCCACGTCAGCAAGACCCAACCCACTTGTAGTTACATTGCAACACATAATTTTTTGAACTGAGTCTATTTCCTACGTGACCAGTATATTTTTTTGAATGGAGCTAAAGCATTACTGATGCTCTAACATGTTCGCTACGTATGCAATCCAAGTCGTCATCTCTTTCTCTCTCTCTTAACGATTTTATAAACTACTTGAAAGTAATCCAATAAACATTAATAATAATTCAAGTCAATCTACTTGGTTTGCCCAAATAAATTTCATTTTATCCTTAAATAAATCCAAATATAAGAATGAAAAAAATATCCGTTATTCATGTAGCAAGCATATATAACAAAGGATAATTTATCAAGATTCGATTTGTACAATTAAAGACATTTTTTACTCAAAGTGAATGAATTTGCGAACCCAAGTTCAGACTTCAGACTCAGAGACACTGAGCTTATTTAAAATGCTTTAAGATAGCAGAAATTCTGCAAATCATGAAAATAGCAACTGATGATGATGATGCCTTTGTCAACAGAATGTGATTATAATATTAACATAATCCGTAATGTCTGCTGTATTTTACTCGTCCACCCTCCATTAGTTTCTTTAAACATTGATACAAAAAAAACATAGTTCATGAATTAATATCAATGCAACGCTTGAATTCATCCTCAGAAATATCCATCGGCTTAAGTGTTTTTACCACAATTTTCGCTCGATTATCCATTGTAACTGCATATGTGGCCCCCAAATTTCCCCTGCTGAGCAATTCAGCAGAAGCCAGGTTGACATTTTCCAAGTCCATAGGAGGACTGAAATCTGAAACGATTAACCAGCTTTGTAGCTCTTCCATAAGTCGACGAACTCCAGAGCCTTGCAAGGTCAAAGGCCAGATCATCAATGGAGGCCCTGGAGCTGAAATCCGAAGCTTCGGAGAGGATGCTGGGGCTCCTCGAATGATCGTGAAAAAAGCGGATAGCTGCTGTTTCTTCAAAACAGCCATTACTAGCCTCTCCTCGAATGTTTGAGGATTTAATTTTTCCATGAACGAGCTTCCGGCCATCTTTTCTATGGATGTGAGCAATGCCCCTGGCTGCCTCCACTGCAACTTTCATGCGGGTCTCCCAGTCTAGAGGTGTCTTATCAGTTCCTAGTTTCCCTATAAAGTATGAAAGAGTTTAATCGAGTCAGATTATCGTATAAAGTTATAAGATCAAAAAATTGCAGTTAGAATGTGAAAATACAATGCTGCTCGTTGATGCATAACTAGCAAATACTAATTACTAAAATTGTACAATGTGAAGGGGAAGAAAAAAAAAAAGAGAAACAAAAAACATGGCATTCTAGTGTTAACATTAAGCTTCAAGTAATTTTTCATGAAGGATTTTTGTCTCCACACTCCATTTTTCATATGCATGCCTACACATTAATGAAGATTGATATCAGTCGATGCTAGAATGGATATACTAAATATCACCTGGAACTGCAATATAAAAGCTAAAAGGAATAATGAATTTCCACAGAAAAAAATCAAGAATCATAACTTCAAGTATCAAGGATAAAATACTAACTATTTAAAGTTTCAAGCCTTATCGAACAAAGTAAATTCCAGGTCAAAAAGAAAATGATTTCTTCACAATTTTAGTTGGAGACTCTATCCTTCATAAAACAATGAAGGGTAGCTGTTAGTAATTTATTTTCCACATACCATGCAGCGCAACAGTGAACATAAATCGAGAGCGCTTCATCTTTTTCGAACAGTAGTATGCCCTCACTGCAGGAACATTTTGTGCCCGATTCTTCCAATAATATCCATATGTTGCTAAAAATCATTAAACGAAAAACAATGTCCTTCATTCTTTTAACCTCAATTGTGTTTCCAGGTTCCAATCTTGCCAAGTAAGAACTCCCAAATGTTCCTTTCCCAAGAACCTCAGCAGAAGACCTAAGCAGATCCTCAAGATCAAATGTGGGGTAAGGATCCTCAATAAATACACGTTTTCTTGCCACAAGAGCACCACTTATGGGGAACGATAAACTATATTCCTCTAACATCTTCACTACTTCAGACATCCTATGTCTCTTCTTCATTGACTTTTGAACACATTTCATTCCTATCTGCAACGTTTTAACCATCTGTTCCTTTATGGTGGGTCGCTTCAACAGATCTGCATCAAATACATTAGCAGCCCTAATCCTGTTTATGGATGTAACCATTTTGACTAGGTCAACAGCCTCAGGACCACCAGGGACATGAACACTGGGCTTTCTATTGAGAAGTTCAAGCAACATAATCCCGAAGCTATATACATCTGATGCTTGGGACACATTGGGAACTCTTTACTTCAGGAGCATAGTAATATGCAGTTGGCATGAATACTATGTGTATCAAGCTTGTTGGACCGAGATCTGATACACAACGATATTGGTCAGGATTACGAAAAACATTTGACGATCTTATGTTTCCATGGACAAGCTTCCTGCCATTATGTTCATGTATTTCAGCAATACCCCGGGCTGCACCAATCGCGATTTTTAGCCTGCTTTCCCACTCCACGTTAGCACGAGGTTCACCATTTCTTCCTGGAAAATATCAGAGAATGCATAATTAAAAACACATCATGAAGAAAAAACTGCAAGTCATACAATTAACACCTTGATAATTGATCAATTAAAGTCATCTCCTGCTTCATCTATTCCATCCATATATATTTTTTCGTATATATACTGTTTATTGCGTGTATGTATTTTTTGTATATTTTTTCGTATATATACTGTATAATTTTCATACATACTGGATAGAATAAAATGGCTAAAAAAAAAGGGGTATGTATTTTTTGTATGTGTGTGTTTCTTCATGTAATAAGCCTAGTCAATTATTTGTTTACCTTTTATATTTTTTGATATTATTTTCGCACAGGTCTTGTGGTTGTGAAGATCAGTTCAATTAATCCCCAAATTTTGATGCAATTCTCCAAAGCTACATTTCCCTAACAAAACATACAAAAAAACTGAAAGAACCATCCCATAATAAAATTATATTAAAGTAGATAGAATTGTTCAACACAAAGCTTCTCATACACATTCCAGACCAGCCACACCCGCTCTCAAGCACCATTAGAACCGCCCTTCTCGGCATCGACGTTCTTTCTGGGGAAAACCACGTCGAGAAACCAGCCGTTCATCTTGGCCGTGAACTCGTTGGCCTTGATGGCATCCATGGGCAGATCCACCTTAAACCTGAGGATTGAAGCCATGCTGTTGCCTCGAACACCATCCTCCTTTTTGCCTTGGGCAATTAGCTGCGATCCCTTGATCTTGACATCAACTTCGTCGTCGGACACTGGCCCTAAACTCACCCGGAGATGGTAGCCTTCAGCAGTAGCTTTCCATTTGAGGGGCTTGCCATCCATAAATTCGGGTGGTGGTTCCAATCCCGCCGGAGTCTGGCCAAACGTCCCTGCATATCGGTTTCAGCAAAAGAGAACAGTGAGAAGAAATGTACTAAAATCGAGAAATGGAAATTAAAAAAAAAAAAATCATTTGAAGCCATAGACAGCTCAAAATAAGCTCGTCAAGCCACGTAATCGTCAATCTAATTATCTACACACCAATTGAGCAAAGTTCCAGCAAAAAGAAGAGTAAAAAAAAAAAAGGGGGAAAAGTTTAAGAGGGGAGAAATTGAATCCAGAAATTTGGATCTGAAGAAAGAACTTACCGAAGAATGTACGGAAGCTCGCCGGCGGGGCCGCCGATCGGAGAGGGGTGGAGCGTCGGAGGCCGGACATGAGGCGACTGAGGGGGAACTTGGTTGCGACCATCCTCGGTTGTGGTGGCTTGTTACGGAAAGGTTGTTTTCTGGTTTTTATCTTCGTCTTCTGTATACTTGCTGTTGGTGGTCTTCACAAGGTCCCGTTTTATGGAGTTGAGAACAAAAGTAAAGGATTCGAAAATCTTCTCCTGACCTAACGGGCCGCTTAATGGGCTTTCTATAGATATCACTTTATTGTATATTAATTCAAAACACGTTGAGTTTAAGTCCCAGATTTTTACATGAGGAAAATCTATATTAAATATAAATAACTTTACACATAAATTCATTAATTTTAACACTCATGTTGTATGTGGGTATAATATTAATGTAAGGTTTAATTTGGGACGTAAAATGGATAGTTTGATCCGTTTGGAGCAAAAGGCAAAAACCAAGCATAGCTGCTATTGGATAAAATTAATGATTTTATTTACATACATGTGCACAATATGGGCTGTACTGGGGGTGGTCGGGGGACGGGAAATTCTCGACCAAGTCGGCCTATTCGACATTGGTTCAGCCCGTTGGCCAGCGTGGAGAGTGCGTGTGGAAAATAATATGGCGGTGGATTGGTCCTCAGCGGGTTCGTCTTTTCCTTTGGCTAGTCGCACGCGATAGTTTGTTGACGAATGAAGTACGGCACGGCACCGGCGACATATTTCTCCAAACTCGGGTTGTCCGGTCTGTTTTGTGGAAAGTGAAACCACGCTACATGTTTTACGGGACTGTGTTGTGGCGACTGAAACCTGGAAAAAAATAGTCCCATGTGGTCGGTGAGTAGAGATGTCAAAACGGGTTGGGCCCACGGGCTAGCCCGCCCCGCCACGCCAAAAGAGTGGATTAAACTGGGATATTAGAGGCCCGCTAGGGAGCGGGCCTAAACGGGCCAGCCCGCGCGAGCCGCGGGCTTTGGCGGGCCGGGCTTGGCAGGCCGCGGGTTGGCTCGCCTTAACAGAAAAAAAAAAAAAAAGAAAATTAAATGTATGTAAATTGTAATTATGAATCTATGATGTATAATGTATCAATGTTAATGTTAATGTATTTTTTTCCATTTAAGTCACAATTTTTTTTTTAAAAAAAGGATAACAACTAAGTAAATAACAAAGTACAAAACAAATGAAACAAATAAACAAAAAATAGCAACATAGAAAGAAACGGGGCTTATTATTTGTGAACTCAGACTCACAGTAGTAAAGCTAAAGGCGGAAAATTAATTTAATGAAACAAAAATTAATTTTTAAGTTTTTTTTTTTTTTNTTTTTTTGTAATTGGCGGGCCAGCCCGCCGAGCCCGCGGCCCATGACGGGGGTGGGCCGGGCTGGCCATTTTGCAGCCCGCTAGGATGGCGGGCCGCCCTGCCCCGCCAAATGGAGGGTTTTGGTGAGCTGCGGGCTGGCCCGCCCCGCCAGCCGTTTTGACATCTCTATCGGTGAGCTTTCTCCTCCTCTTAGAAGTTGGCTTTCAAAAACATCAATTGGCCGCTTAATTCCGGAAGTGGACAATTGGGAGTCTTTTTCGGTCTTACAGCTTGGCTTTTGTGGAGATGGCAGAATCCCAAGGTATTTGAGGGGTCCGACACTACCCTGACTCAACGGATTGGCGAGGTTTTCTCCTATGCGGGTAAGGTTCGATGTGCATTGACCGGAAGCGAACCCTAGGAGCCTCTGGTTTACGTGAAACGCGTTGGATCTCTTGGTCTTTAACCGCAGCGGATGAATTTAAGGTTAATATGGATGGTAGCTTTGCACCCTCGACGGGGATGGCTCGTGCAGGTGGAGTCATTTGCGATCACCATGGGAATTGGGTTAGTGGCTTTGTGATGAATATAGGTTTCTGTTCTATCATCATAGCAAAATTATGGGGCATGTTTCAGGGATTGCAGTTGCCTCGGAGCCCGAAAAATCACATTGGAGGTTGGTAACAAGAGCGTTGTTGAAATGGTACAATACGATGACTATAACGGGCCGCATGGGAGCATTTTGAAGGGTATTAAGGAGCTTTTGAGTCGCATATATGGTTGTGAAGCTTAATCATGGCTATCCTGAAGCCAACCAGACTAACTACTAGGCGCCTTTGGCGGCTAAGGAACATGGTGGGTTGCATATATTGGAGCGTCCTCCTCCGATGGCAAGCTTATGGTTACAACTAGTGCTGTTAAATTAAACGAGTCTGGCTCGGCTCGCCTCGTTAAGGCTCGAGTTCGAGGCCTTAACGAGCCGATCTCGAGCTCATTAAAATCTCGTTTGGCTAATGAGCCGAGCTCGACTCGACTCGATAAAGCTCGAGCTCAAGCTCAATTTTAGGCTCGTTTATTTAACGAGTCGAGCTCGGCTCGGCTTGGCTCGTTAAGGGCTCAAGCTCGAGCTCGAACACCCTAAGCTCGAGCTCGGCTCAACTAGTTTACAGCCCTAGTTACAACACGATATTACCGGAGTGTCTTATCTTTAAAATATTTTGCCATAGCTATTATGTAGGCTTCACCTTCTCTCTTGTAAAAAAAAAAAAAGAAAAAAAAAATGATGATTACTATTTTGACTGTGGCCAGAATAACATTCTACTCGTGGTATTATCTAGGATGTCACAGTTGCAGTTTAGTAGAATGTAAATTTAATACATGCATATATATTATATATTTCGGAAGTATTAATGTTTTGAAGTCTTGCGAAGAAATTAATTCATCACCTCATATTTGCATATTGGTCCATCGTTTTAAATCATCGAAAAATTTTAAGGGTCCGAGTGGGTAACATTTTATTTAATTTTATTATATATGTTCGACGCAAAAACTGTAATTCAAAGTATAAATTCTTCGATTAAAAAAAAAAAGAAAAGAAATTACATTGTTCACTTTATTTCATATTTCATATGGAAAAAAGGATGTGAGTTGTTATTTGAGCCGAGTTAAGTAATTAACTCATTTTGAACTTATGCTCGTCTAGTAAACGAGTTAACTCAAAATTGTATAAGCTCGCGATAGCTCAATTCGGCTTGACTGTTCATCTTAAATCTATGATTTTTTTTAATAAAAAATAAAAATTGTTCGCAAACAAATCCAACTCAACTTGTTAAATAATGAACTCGATTAATTATTCGAACTTGTTAAATAATTGTTCGCGACGAATCTATGATTCACGTTCAGAAACAACTCGATACAAATAATATTAATAACGCCACCTAAGTGCAATTCATGAACATAGTTTGTAAGCTCGTGACAACTTAAACCTGAAAATTATAAGATTAATTCAAATATTCAATATCATTCATTTAGTTGTTATTAGCATTGTTATCAAAACCGGACCGAACCGGCCACCGGTTGGACCGGGAACCGGACCTAGTACCGGTCCGGTTTGCATGTTTAGGCCGGTGGGAGCAAGAACCGGTATCGAACCGGTCGAACTGGTTCAAAACCGGTAAAACCGGTGAACCGGTTACCGGTTAGACCGGTCGAACCGGTTCTGAAAATTTAAAAAAAAAAATTATTGAAATAAAAAAAAATTAAAAAATATTGATTATTGTAAACTATACTTAAATATTGTTTTAGTGAACTTTATTTAGTATTGTTTATGGTAAACTATACTTAAAATATTGATTTTCAACTCTTATTTAGAAAAATATCATTATATGCTATAACATTAATGATAAATATATATATAATTATATATTATACATATAAAATAAATAAATAAATTATATATTAGTTAAACCGGTTGGACCGGTTCGACCACTGGTCCGACCATTGAACCATTGAACCAGTAGCTTCACCGGTTCGATGGCCGGTCCGGTTTTGAGAACATTGGTTATTAGTTTAATTTGTTGTCATTCAATTTATTTGTATTTTGTAAAAAGTTTGACCTGATTGCTGTGTCCCAAACTTGACCGACATTCGTACATTTCTTTTGCATGGAGATATGCAAACATGATACCAATATGTGCCCTGCATACTATGCACCAAAATATATCAGAAATGTCAGTTTAGCCAAAATGAGTAGAAAGTGGTGTAAAGACAGTTATACCCCTGCACAGTGTGCACATACAAAGGCCTTGCAGCAGTTTAGATTGAGACTTGACGTGAGTAGCACACCCGTATAATATCATGCTCGAGCCATACCCCCAACCGAAGGTGCAGGCATTATCTCAAGCCCCATCAAGGAAGACGCGGCCAAGTTGGCTTGTTTTACTTTGTTGCTATGTTAATGTTGCTTGTTGCATACCCAAAAAGAAACCCAGCTGTAACTATACTTATCAAAGTATTTGAACCACTATAACTAATTAGTTAAGAAGATTAGTTAAATTAATCCAGAAATTTTGGATCAATTTTCCAAGGCTATTTTTTCATAAAAATATTTTTGTTAATTACCAAATAAAAAAAATCACATAAGTAAAATAAAGAACAATTAATTACATAATACCAGTAATTAATTAAGCAGATAGGATTTTTTTTTCGTTCAACACTCTTCTTCTTCATAATTCAGTCAAATTACAGATCAAGAGGTACCCTCCGACTCCCCACCATCGACTTTCTTCTTGGGAATGAACACATTCAGAATGCTGCCATTCACTTTGGCCGTGATCTCGTCGGGCTTGATGACATCCATAGGCAGCTCGACCGTGTACCTCATGATTACCGCAATGCTGCCTCCTGGGAAATTATTCTCCATTTTGCCTTGGGCAATGAGTTCCGATCCCTTCATCTTGACACCAACTTGGTCTTTGGACATTGGCTCTACATTCAGCTGGAGATGGAAGCATTCCGCAGTAGTTTTCCATTCAACTCTGTCATCGGAAAAGTTTGGGTCCTCGCCGGAAGATGAGAATTCCGACGGAGTCCGGCCACACGTACCTTAAATGGAAATTTAAGTATGAGAAAAAAAAAATCATTTCAAGGCTTAGATAGCTCTCAGAACATACGAAATCACGCAATATTCGATCTAAAGACCAATCGAGAAAGGTTAAGAGGGGGGATATTGAATTCACAAATCTGGATCTGAAGAAAGAACTTACTGGAGAAAGTACGGAAGCTCGCGGGCGGAGCCGCCGGGCGGAGAGGGGTGGAGCATCGGAGGCCGGAGAAGATGAGACGGCTCAGGGGAAACGTGCGTGCGGCCATTCTCGGTTGTGGTGACTTGTTACGGAAAGGTTGTGTTCTGGTTTTTATCGTTGTCTTCTCTATATCACTATATGTATATACTTGCTGTTGGTGGTCTTCACAAGGTCCCGTTTTATGGAGTTGAGAACAGAAGGAAAGGATTGGGAAATCTTCTCCTGACCTAACGGGCCGCTTAATGGGCTTTCTATCGATATGAAAGGTTTAATTTATGACATATAAAATGGATTGTAAAAATAAAAAACGTAGCTTTTTCCTATACTAAAATCCTGTGTCATCCTAGTAGTTCAGCCACTGGCAGTAATGTTGTTAAATTAAACGAGTATGGCTCGACTCGACTTGTTACGGCTCAAGTTCAAGGCCTTAATGAGCTGAACTCGAGCTCGTTTAAAGCTCGATTTTATATTTTCATAAAAAAATCATTATTCGTTTGATTAATTGGTCGACATTATATCGTAACAAAGTATTATTAATCCTTGAAGTCATATATAGTATCAATAATCTGACGTGGTTAAATTGACTCCTAACATGTTCTCTCGGGATGCAATTCAAGTCGTCATTTTTTTTTTTAACTATTTTATAAACTACTTGAATGTGATCCAATAAACATGGACAATATAATTCAATTCAATCTACTCAGTTTGCCCAAATATATTTCATTTTATCCTTCAAATAAATTTAACTAAGTGAATGATAAGAGAAACCCGTTATTCATGTAGTAAACATATACTACAAAGGATAATTTATTAAGATTATGAATTATACAATTAAAGACATTTTTTACTCAAAGAGAATGAATTTACGAACCAAGTTCAGACTTGAGACTCAAATGAGACTGACAGAGCACAAAAACATTCAGATACAGAAATCAATTGTACAGTTCAGATAGGACTTTTACAGTTTACACATCGTATAACAGAAAACAAGAGAGAACACTAGAAAAACTTTTCACAGATTTTCATTAGAGAATGAAATGATTATTGGATGATCAAAAGCAATATGTAAGAAGAAAACTTGTACACGCGTTCCAATCCGAAAACCAAAAGAAAAAAAAAAAAAACTCGACTCACTAACCAGTAAACTTATGGTGTAAGAGTGGGCAACAGATCCTCCAATAGATCTTCCAATCTCGAATCTATGGCTGGTTGCTCCCATGAATCTTCTGAACCAGATTCGTATAATGGCTCGATGCCACTGATTTCCTCTAACTTCTTCACTACTTCAGACATCCTAGGCCTGCGTTCAGGGACATTGCTAACACATTCCATTGCAATTCGCAAAGTCTGTACCATTGACTCCTCATCATTTTCATGCCGCATAAGTTCTAAATCAAACACTTCAGAATTCCATTCTTCACGGACAACAGATATAACCCATTTAACCAGCGAGATGGTCTCGGATTCTTCTTCCACACTGATTTGAGATGGTTTTCCGGTGATAAGTTCAAGCAAAAGAACTCCAAAGCTGTAGACATCAGAAGATTGGGACACGCTTCCAGTGTCTCTAAGTTCGGGGGCGCAATAGCCGGGAGTTGGCATAGCTGATCTTCTGACGGGACTTAACAGCTTTGCCAGACCGACATCAGATACAACGCCATGTTTTTGTCCATTAAGGAAGATGTTTGAGGATTTAATGTTTCCATGAACTAGCTTCCGGCCATCTTTACTATGGATGTGAGCGATGCCCCTGGCTGCATCCACTGCAATTTTCATGCGGGTCTCCCAGTCTAGAGGTGTCTTATCAGTTCCTAGTTTCCCTATAAAGTATGAAAGAGTTTAATCGAGTCAGATAATTATATACAGTTATAAGATTGAATAACTGCAGTTAACATGTGAAAATAGAATGCTGCTCGTTGATGGAGGGGAAGAAAAAGAAAAGGAACAAAAAGCATGGCATTCTAGTGTTAGCGTTAAGCTTCAAGAATTCTTTCATGAGGGAAGGGTTGCCATTTGGGATTTTTCTCTCAAGTTCATGCACACTCCAGTATTCATAATGCACTGCCTACACAGTGAAGATTGCTATCAGTTGATACTAGAATGGATATACTAAAATCGCCTGGAACATCTATATAAAAGCTAAAAGGGATAACGAATTTCCACATAAAAAAGTCAACAAACATAACTTTAAGTATCAAGGATAAAATATTAACTAATTTAAAGTTTCAAGCCTATACGAACAAAGTAAATTCCAGGTTAAAAGAAAGATGATTTCTTCACAATTTTTGTTGGAGATTCTATCCTTCATAAAACAATGAAGGGTAGCTGCCAATAATTATATCTTCACGTACCATGCAGCGCAACATATAAACTCTCCTGAACATAGTGATCATAAACCAAGAGCCTTTCATCTTCCGAATAGTAGTAGGCCCTCACTTCAGCAACATTTTTGTGCCCGATTCTTCCAATGATATCCATATGTTGCTGAAAATCTTTAAATGAAACAACAACGTCCCTCAATCTCCTAACCACAATTGTATTACCAGGTCCCAATCTTGCCATGTAACAAGTACCAAATGTTCCTTTCCCAAGCACCTCAGCAGAAGCCTTAAGCATATCTTCAAGATCAAATGCGGGGTTAGGATCCTCAATGAACACAAGTTTTCTTGCCACAGGAGCACCATTTATGGGGTTCAAGGAACTAATTTCCTCTAACATCTTCACTACCTCAGACATCCTAGGTCTCTTCTTTATCGACTTTTCGACACATTTCATTCCTATCTGCAACGTTTTAACCATCTGCTCTTTTATGGTGGGTTGCTTCAACAGGTCTGCGTCAAATACATTAGCAGCCCTAATCCTGTTCCTTATGGAGGTAACCATTTTGACTAGGTCAACAGCCTCAGGACCACCAGGGACATGAACACTGGGCTTTCTAGTGAGAAGTTCAAGCAATAAAATCCCGAAGCTATATACATCTGATGCTTGGGACACATTCTGGGAACTCTTTACTTCAGGAGCATAGTAATGTGCAGTTGGCACGAATGCTGTTTGTATCAAGCTTGTCGGACCGAGATCTGATACGCAACCATACTGGTCAGGATTACGAAAAACATTCGACGATTTTATGTTTCCATGGACAAGCTTCCCGCCATTATGCTTATGTATTTCAGCAATACCCCGGGCTGCACCAATCGCGATTTTTAGCCTGCTTTCCCAGTCCACGTTAGCACGAGGTTCACCATTTCGTCCTGGAAAATAAGGTTCGCCATTTCGTCCTGAAAAATATATAAGAGAATGCATAAGATCACACATATCCAATATTCACAACTAGCCTGGGCCATGATGTTGATTAACGCAGCATAATTAGAAACACGTCATGAAAACAAAACTGCAAGTGATACAATTAACACCTGGATAATTGATAAATTAAGGTCATCTCCTACTTCATCCATTCGACAGATGGAGCACTATCAAGAACTATCATTTCACCTTAAAGGCATATTCTAAATTGGGATTTTTACTAGATATTCTTTTGCAAACTAAGGGACAATGGAGGATATTAATTACCTTAACAGATATCTATATCACTTTCATCTTCAATCACCCCTGTTAATTTGCACTAATGCCCTTGAAAGTGAAATTTAGATATGCACAGAATATTCAAAGCTAAACAGTGAAATCTCTTATCAAACTTGTAATGGAAATCCTCATATAATTCTTTATGACTCTGACAAAGAACAAAAACTATATCACTAGAGAAGTCCACGGGTCCACAACATACCATGTAAGAGCGAATACACGCTCCCCCAACGGTAATAATCATAAAGCATGAGCCTCTCCTCTTCCGAAGAGTAGTAAGCTCGCAGTGAAACCACGTTCGCGTGCCTAACGCCTCCAACAATCGCCATCTGCCGATTGAACTCTTTTTGTGAAACACTCGTCGGGTCGAGTCTCTTGACCACGATTCCTACCCCGTTGTCCATTGTAGCAACATAAACGCTCCCGAAGGTTCCCCTGCCGATAAACTCAGAAGAGGCCAGCTGTACATGCTCGAAATTGATGGAGTGACTGAAATCCGAAACAAAAACCAGCTTCGGAGTTCTCCGGTATGTCGATAAACTTCCAAGTCTCGCGAGGTCAAGGGCATCGAGTGAGAGCCTCGAGTTGAAGCTAGAGCTAAAATCCGAAGCTTCGGAAAGGACGCTGGGGCTCCTCGAATGATCGTGAAAAAGCTGCCACAGCTGCTGTTTCTTCAGAACAGCATCAACAAGCCTCTCCCAGTTGTCATAGATTGCAGACATCTTCGCCTAATGCCTGAAACTGCTAAACTAAAAATTAAATTGTCAAATCTGCTACACAGGAATTTATCACATAAGGGTTCATCAAAAGCCACCACTTGCACACATTAATCACTAAAAAAAATGAAAATGGCTAGAATGATTCCAAATTTATAATCCGTTGACACGGACTTGGTCGGAAAAGTCAACGCTTTCAGAGAGCTGTAGGTGTGAATACATGGTCACTAAATTAGGGTAATTAAAAATGAGAACAGAAATTGAAAAGGACAATTGAGCTCCTGAGTAAATTCCTGGAAATAGTCGCAAAATTGACCGTATAGCTAGAAAATACAAGGAAATCACTGTTACTGACTGAATTTTCTATCGAGATAAAAAAAAAAAAA